CTTGTGTTGAGTATTGGGGTGGAGGAGGTTTCATCTCTTATGGAAAACAGGAACACGGGGTCGTTGAGGTGCGAGCTGGCCGCTGCGGAGCCAGTGTTGGTTGTAGCTCTTCCTCCAACATTCCCGATTCGGGACAGTGTCTGGGGCCGCACTCGGCCCTGCCCGCAGCCAGGGACTCCGCGGGGCTGGAGGCAGGATGGCTGCGCCCACGGCGCTGCGGTCAGGGCCAGGGTCCCACCTGGCCTCTCGGGCGCGCGAGTGTCTTGGTCCATGGCCTAAAGGTGCTGCAGAGCCATGGGGCTGTTTGACTTGGGTCGCTTGTGTATCACGAGAGGTTTGACACCCCTGTTTAGGCTGTGAGTCACTTTTTAGCGAGAGAGAATTGTCTTCAAACCCCTTTTTGTTTTTATAGGTAAGATCCAAAAACATGGCAGTTTTTTGGCTAGCTGTTTCCCTCCTCCCCCTTCCTGCTTTTTGTTGGTAAAGGGTTTTGATACCTGTGACCGCAGGAGAGATGTCTAAAGCATTATCATTGTCCTGAAACCTAAGCAATAATGAGGGAAATGCATTGGTCAGAATTTTATTTTCTGCTCTCTTTCGAACTGCAAACTGTTACCTGGCACTTAAGAGAAAAGTTTTTTCTGTGAATGTTTTGCTTTCTGCTCTTTATGCCCTGAAGATGAAAACCCCTTTTGCCTATTTTTTGGATTTGTTTTTGAAAGTAAAAACAAGAGACTTCTACCTAAAAAGGAGGAGGCTCTCTGCTTTTAGTATTACTTTTTTTAGAGCTCTGTTACAGATAATTTTAAAAAGGGCACAGACAAGTATTCTCCTAATGCACAAGTAGTCTCTTAATGCACTTATTTTAATGAACGCTTTAAGGAGATTGTTCCTTGAAAAAGCTGTCTTTATTCTTTGTTTCAGATAAACCAAGGAGTCGATACGCTGTGAATAGCTCTGGTGACACCACAGAAGATCAAGATGGGGATTCCAGGTAGGAGAAAACATCTCTCCTTGCCTAAGAGTTTGAAACACAGAAGAGATGGCCTCTTGCTCTCTTGCCTGGTAGTTTAGTAAGCAAATCCTCTTGGGCTGTATAGAAGACAACTTGCAAAGAAATGCTTTAATGCCAAGTTATGAGCAAATTAGTGCCTAGTAATGAGTAATTTCTCATGAGGGAATGGTACTGAATCTATTATTTTCTGGGCAAGGTACAGGTCAGGTATTTTGTGCTCGTCAGAACGGCAGTATTACTTTTTCAAAGCTAGGAGTATTAATACTTTGACAAAATTCCACTTTTCTTTACCTGTCTACCTCTGGATATATTGCCTCAAATTCTTCCCTAGCTTATGTAATTGTTGTATGGAATTGCAGTGCACTAATGAATAACTAATTTTGTTTCCCCAGATACAGCTCCCCTTGTGTCTGTGGAGTGAAATAGGAGCTCAAAGGGAAACTGAGACTTAGCCTTTCAGTTACAGGAAATCAGGGGGTAACAAACGCACTGAAAATAGACTGTGTTGTTCATCATGGATGTACATATGAATAGACCCTCTAATTAGTTTTTGTAGAAAATCTGAAATCTGCTGCATGGTTCTCGATTTATCACTATCAGATATGAGACAAATCTGGGAAAGAAAAAGGATTTTTTGTCTTTGGCCCATAGTTCAGTTGCGGATCTTCTTTGTGTTACGCGTTTTAATCTCCAGTATTAATAAAATGGGGTAGTTGCTGCTCTTCTCTCACATAAAAGTAAAAAAGAAGTACTCACCATTTCAGAAAAGAAATTTAGATCCCAACCTCGCAAAATGTAAGCTTGTTCTTAACTTTATGGCAGAACGGTTCAGCGGAAATTACAATCACCCATGACAGTAAACTTTATCAATTCATACGTTTTTCCAGGACTGGGTTCTTATGAAAACACATTTTGATTGAGGTATTTATATCTCTTGCCTCTTCTGGCGTCTTTGAAACCTTCAAATGCAGCCTTCTGTCATGTCTGCCGTGAGTGCAGTATGGTACAGTGGGAGCAAGCCGTGGTTTTGTAAGTTTGGTAATCAGTGAATGGCCTTTCAGACTGTGCTATGGACGGCAGCTAGTATGCACGTTAGGAAGGCTCACACATTTGCTCGTTATCTCAGGGATTTTGTTGGTTGCTGTTCAAAACCCTGGCTCTAGTATTTCCCTAGATAGATTAAGGCAGCACTGGAACGGTACCAGCTTCTGTCTGATACTGATTCTCCTGGCCTCTGCCATTCTGGCAGGTTGAACGAAGCACTTAATGCTGAGCTGCGTTCGTTGGATGCTGTGTGTGGTGCTGGATTAGGGTGATGCAGTATGTGGCTACTATAGTGATGTAGGAAAAGCTTTTATCATTTCAGTTTATGGTCAGATGAGAAAACTGCTAGTATTTTCCTGAAACTGGTTTTAAGTAGATTGAATGTGCTGGCATGTAACCTACATTAAACAGAGATTTAGAGTATTTCATTGTAGTGGTGTCCAGAACTCTGGGCTTGAAAGTTCATCTCCTGCTCAGGTATTTGTTATTAAGCTTTTAGTGTTTAAAAGAATTGATGATCTCTCAACTGAGCTCACTAAGTGCAAAGCATCACAGTTCTGAAGTGCTGAATGAAAGAATATTAAGACAGAAATCCCCCTCTGCTGTGATGGTCTTCAGAAAAAAGTAGTTCTCACTTGGACGGTTTTGTATATAGCAATATATACAAATTCATGCTGCAGCATCTGCACCTGACTCTTACTAAGGTCAGTTTTTACAAGCCTTATATCTACTTAGATGAAATTGAGGTGTCAGCCAACTCAGGTCTGTTAACAGAAAGTCCCTTAATATTGTCTCCTGCGGATCTGTCGGTAGCTGCCGTGCAGATGAAAGGGAGCGAGGAGTGTTTATGTTGCTCTTAAAGTGTTGGTTCTGCTAGAGGCCAGATAATCGAGGTCCAGCACACGGCCTGCGCTGCTTACATGGCTGGGCATCTGCATTCAGAAATTCAAAGTCTCTTTCAAAATTGCATTTCTTTCAAGTTTGTTTACTGAAAAGCTTTTTCTCCAATACCAGTGTAACCAGTGTTGTAAGTCCACTGCATCCTATACAACTGATGTAGCAGCTAAATGTATCCTCTTCAGTGATAGCAGCTAGTAGAAGAAATTGCTGATGCTCTTTATATACTGAGTACTGTTAATTTATACTAGACAAGAGGAGGTTTGTTGGCAGAGTTAATATCTTTCACAGGACTTACTCATAGAGGTGGAAAAAGTATGCAAGTTTTAGGTACACAGGCACTTTTTCCCGCACAAAACAAAAAGTGATCTTCAAAACTGTGTACAACAGCTTGCTTAGACTTTTCATTTGTATCAGACCTTTTTTGGAGTAACAGAAGTTGGTGCCTTGGAGTAGCAGAGATTCTAAGGGGAAAGTGGAGGCAGAAAGGTGCAGATGTCTTGGAGAGAGCAAGATGCATAGGACTTGTAAACTAAGAAATGAAGGAGTTTGTCGTATGCTGTAAAACCAGTATTGTCGTTGAGCCCATGGGGTTTTTTTCCTCACCAGTGTTATGAATTTTCGCTCCTGTTTGGAATGTGTTTTGTATGTTTCTGTTGAAGATCAGGCTGGAGAGACCAGGAATGGAACGACTGGTTTTGTGAGAGCTGTTCCCCCAGTGGCAGCTCTGTCCCTGTAAGTTCGTTCTCCTGCAGTGCAGAGGTTCTCTTACTGAAACGCTCAGTTCAGTAGTCCATGGAGAGATTTCATCAGCATCAAGTCCAGTCCATTTTCTGGTGGTAGTGATTTTCTGATTGCAGTTGTCCCTGATGAAAGTAATTTATTAAGTGGTTTCGTATTATTTCTGGAAGGCTTCTTCAAGGAAGAGTTGGCAAAAAGATTCCTTTAAATCACCACACATCAGTAGCATCTGTGGATGTTTTTGGTGGCACAAACTGAGGCTTTGGAGTGGGCAGACAGCTAGGTTGAGTTAATGGTGTAGGGCAAGTTTGATAATGTTGAAGGGTTGGGTCTTTCCCATGTTTTCATGTTCAGCAGCAAAGGTTATTTCGGATTTATCTTGTTGCTGCAGTAGTTCTTATGAGGGTTGGATTCATCCTTTTTTGTACTGGATGGCTATCTTTAATTTACTAGCAATCTGTCACCAATTGTATCCTAGATAAGGTTCACTATTGCTTTTTTCCGAAGCTATTGGATCCCAGGTCGATTACTTTTTGAGCTGACCTTTCCTGGAGCAGTTGAGGTGTGTGTATTTCTTTATGGCCTCAGAAAGGACAAAATTAGATCAGTTTAGGTGCCTTAATTCTCCATTTCCATATAGCATATTTGTATGCATAATTGGATTTCTTTTAGCCTTCCTACTCAAATTTCCTGGTCATTGTTATGCTTTTTGGTTTTTATAGATGGTTGCAGCCTATTCATGAAAATTCTACCTCTAGGTTACTGGTGTGTATTTGCTTGTATTCTACTGAATGGAGCTGTGTGTTTGGGTCTTCAGAATATAGATTTTTCTTCCTTTTTAAAAGCAAGTCAAGCAGCAAAAGTGATTGAGGTGTGTTGATGGTGGCCACGTAACAAAACGCTATTCAGAAGAATCTGTCACTGTCAAAAAAAATTGCCTGTCAAGTGTCTCTGTTGACTTCTTCTCAGCCTTTCATCATTTGCTCTCTTCCAAAACATCCTTCAGTTTTTGAGTCCTTTACCAGTAAAACATACCACTCACAGCTTATGGAGATGCCTGCCGGTCTATTTTTCGTTTTATTTTTTCCTCTGAAAAAATATGAGGCAATTACCCTTTTGAAGCCAGAAGAGGATGCTTTGTTGAAGTGGTTTGAAATGTTTTTTAGAGTTTTTCTGAAGGCGGTACAGTCAGCAAGCAAAAATTCTAATGAAGATGCATGTATAGTAACATATGTTACACCAGACTGCATTTTTTAGTAGCATAACTGTCTAACTGAAGGGGGTTTAGCAAGTTTGACAGCATTGATGTCATTAATTGGCCAAACGCTTCTGTTACAAAAAAAGTCAAGTTACTGACAAACGAGGCCTTGAATGTCCCTTTCTAACAAACAGTAGTTCTCCTGTGATAAGGTTTCTGTATCCTCTGTCCCTCTTTCACTGGACTCCAGTGTTCTTCCTTGTATTTGTTCTGAAAGGCTTCCTTTCTGTAAGCCCATGCTTTTCCATTCATCTGTTCATCCCTTTAAACACCCTTCCTGTAATATCACCCTCTTTGTGTAGTTTGTCATTTGGGATTGCTCTAGGTTCCCTTTTCAACATGACCAGTCGAAATCTGCTGTCTTTTGGATTAATAATTGTTGGACGTTTTTGTTTTGTCTCTCTTTTCTAACGTGGATAGTATAAAGCTTTTTATCAGATTAATTTTTCAGGATATTTAGGAAATTTGTTTCAGGAAACAAGTCCTTTTATTCCTGTTATTTGGGGAAAAAAGCGCAGTTGACTGTTAAAATGAAAATCGGTGTTTGTTTCTCTGATATAGGAGTACCGTTAAAAGAGCCTTGTTCTTTACACCTGTTGTAAAGAAGATTTTCAGGTTCTTTGCCTTAAAAGCTTTTTCAGCCTACTCTTCCTAAGTTTCTGCTTACTGCCTGGGGCAGACCAAGACAGAGAACGACTTCATGCCTGTGCTGTCAGTCTGGCCAGACTTGCACCTATTGCTTATATCCCTGCGGGGAGCAGCAGCAGCTCTGTGTGCAAGGCCCGTTACAGAATCCTGGCTCTGCATGCAACAATAAATGCTTGGCACCCTCTAAGTCTCGTGGGTATGGAAGCAGCAGAACCGCTTGTGAAGAGCTGTGGGTCATTTGGGGCTGCACGGGATGTTCTGTTGGTGAAGATGTTAGTCATAGGCTAGAAAAGAAACTGGAGTTTAGAATCGGCTCTAAATCAGGCTGCAACCTCTTCTATTTTCGCTTAAGGTAAGCATGAATTAAAAAGTACGGTGTAAGTACAGGTCCATAAATGCAGCGTATCGTGGTAATACATTACAGAAGGCAGTGTTAGCGAGAGGACTGAAATGCCTTAGCCCGTTTTCTCTGTGTTGTCAATCTAAGCCTGCAATATATCACCGGAATTCACCTACAATTAACTTTTGACTCTTCTCAATAGTTATATTTCCTTTACAGGAGTTTGACTCTTAATAGTTCATCCTAGTTTTTAATGTTATCTCTTTTTTTGTTTTGTTTTGTATTTTGTGTACTTGCCTCGTTATTTTCTTTTTGTTGTGTTTTGTTTTTATGGCCATGTTCCCATTTCAGAGACCAATGTCCTCTAACTGATGAGCAATTGGTTTCGGGGTAAGACCAAACATTCTAAACAATCACCTTTGTCCAGAATGGCTTTCTTTTCTCACCATCCTTTTAATTGTGCTTTGTTTCTGGTTTCTATTTTACACCGAATGATGAGATAATTATATGCTAAATCACAATGTCTGTGGGAAATGTATTGCTAAAGGTTTATGCTAGGATAATTATCAAGGTCCTACTAACATTTCTGTGCTTCCTGTAGGGTGTCCAGAATGGACGTGGTACTGTCCCCATTTCTTTGTGAATTGAGAAAAGTTGTGATCCTCCAAGAATGCAACAAGTCTAGCTTTGGCATTGTAGTTATTCCAGCAAGGAGCCCTGAAACAAATTGCTTTCTGATGAGCAATGACTTAAAAGTACAAATCAGTGAGTAAACTATTTAATCCCACAGTAATTATGGAGAGCTCTTCCAGGGACCTGGCTTAGAGCAGCTGCTCTGGTTGCTTGTTCTTGGTGCCCCACTAAGCTAAACTGGATGACTGCGTTACAGACCCTTTTTGAATGTGTGGAGGGCAGAGTGCTTATCTCTGCCCGGGGGCCCAGAAGTACTAAACTGCATCTCTAGTCCCCACTTAACGTTAAGATTCTCCCCTAGATACTCAGCTCCCATTCTAAGTTACTTCAAAGAAGAATTTATAACCTTGCTTTGAATTCCTGTGGCATATAAGAAGTTACTGTCTGTTCTTGGGAAACAAATGAATTTGTGTTTGAGATTCTTTCCCCCTCCTTTTCCATGTGCTAAAGCTAAAGCAACTGTTGTTTCAGCTGGGTTTCCAGAGGAGCTGCTGGTGACAGCAGTCGATCTGCACTAGTGTGGTTTGTATCGTACTGCTGGTTTTCTGCTCTTGCTGCTGTGTTGACCTCATGATAGGAGCAGTAGGATATTTTGGGCAAATCAAAGCTTTGTTTTTTTCTATTTAGTTTCTGATTGCTGAATTCCTTAGTACAGGAGAGGTTTGCTTCCCTCTGGAAATCACAATGCTCAGACTCATCTCATAAAAGCAGAAGGGACTGTTGCTGCCTGACTGTGAAACCTAATCTGCTTCTAACAAACTCTTGGGCTCAGAGGAATCAGTATTTTTAGGTCATCTTAATACACCCCAGAGATTAGAAAATCAGTATTAAAAATGTTACTGAATTGAAATGATGGGAATAACATATCTGCTGTCCCTCAACCTCCCTATCATCCCAAGGCCTAAGAAATGTGTAAATTATGTAGACCATTGGGGGCAAAACCCTCAAACCAGCCAAACCAATGAATCTAGGCTGTCAGACAAGGAGGATGGAGCTGGAGCCTAGGTTACTCTTGGGAGAGCCTGCAGTGATACCAGGTGTCTGTATCCATCAGGGAGCACCTGTAACCCATCACAGGGTTATCCTTCCTGAGTGTGTCATCTGGCTGCAGGTGCAGTACTCTTCCAGAAAGAGAAGCCTCTGCTAGTGAGAAGATATGGAGGACTTCACAAAATCAACCGTTTGATCTCCTCCTCCTCCCCACAGAGGCAGACAGGGCTGTCGGTGTCATGAGCTCTCTTGGGGAAGTGCTGAACTGTTGCGTTCGGCACCACATTTATCTGTTAAAAGATCTGGTGTAATTTCTTGTAAAAATCAAATCTTAACAGGGGCGAAAGTCATCATAATGATCAGTTTTCCAGCTCCCAAGATATCCTTTGCCAAGGCTGGGGGAGGGAAGAGTAACTCATTTCTTACCAGCAAGCAGGCGTTTTCTAATTTGCCTCCTTCTCCCTCTGCTCCCCAAAACATATGCTCGTTTTGGATCCATTGCTATTACACTCTGGCTCCATGATGAGCCTGTTAACACAGCTGAAGGGGGCACATAGAGGGGGAAAAGCTCACTGCTGCCATGGTGACTTTTTTTTCCTGTTTTGAATGTGATCTCCAAGGACTGTCAGTCCAAGTCCTGTTTGAGGACGCTTTACGCTTTCTTGAAGAACTCCATGTGTTCCGTGTGCAGCCTGGTGCAGTGTGTGGGCTCGGTGGCCCCACGAGTCTCTGGCTACTTTCCCCATCTCTCTGCTGGTCCTTAGCTGTGTTTGGAGCAGAGTGGCCAGGGATTTGGAAGTTTGTACAGAGCTGCTCCTTCCACGAGCCAGATGTAAGCAGTGTGCTGTGGCCAGGGTGACCTGTTTGTACAAACACCAGGGGCTCTGGCAGCTTGGAAAGCCCCTCTGTTTTCCTTCGTCTTCAGTATATGTAGGTCTAATAAAAGAAATGCCCTTTAGGTCATATGCAGATGGATACACACAAAAGACCTGGCTGTGTGCATTTGTCTTAATTTCTGTAGTGCTCCATAACTCGCTCAGAGTGAGCCAGGAATATGGTACATTAATTCCTTCTCTGGGCATTGAGGGCTCACTTGTGGCCCAGAGATAAGGCGAGTGCAGCACACACCCATGCCTGCCCTTTTCTTTGAGTGATACTGGGTTATCTGGGATACCTGCCTGGTGGAGGGGGATGGTCTGACATAGGCACACTTCCCTGAATGTAAAGAAAGAAAATGAAATAAAGACTTCCATTCTTAAAAAAAATGGTCTCATCAGAAACTGGTTTGAAATTCATTTGGTTAAATAGGAGCCTCTGAGAAATCAGACGAGGAAAGAACTTGCTAATACCGAACCTTGCACTGCTCCCATTCTAGAACCGCAAGTTCCCTGCAGCAGCTGAGGTTCTTTTCCCTGTGGATTTGAGCTCCACTGTCTCAGGGGACACCCTGAGTGTTTGTAGAGACCACACCAATGAGTGGTTGCAGAATTCCTCCCTTGTCACACTGGATTCTTACCTGTTTTTGCAGTGCTAGCTGTATTTTACGGGACAGACTCCTTGTAGATACTTGCCCTCCTGTCTCGCAGCTGCCTTCTTCCCAGAGCAATCCAGTGACACCATGGTCGGTGTTGGGAAGAGCCTGCCCTGTCACAACAATTTGGCTCAGTTCAGTTTATTGAATGAGGAAAGCCCAGGTGAGGCCAGGCAGCTCTCAGAAGGGTGCAGGTGGTCTGTTGACCACAGGTTGAGTCTGTTAAGTGAGTTACTTTCCATCTCACTGATGAGATTTGGGAAAGGAGGGACAAGTGTTGGATGTATGTTTCTTGTAATTGAATTGGCTCTTTCTTGCCTTCCCCTCTGCCATACTGGGTGGCTTAAAGATCTCTGTTGTGCTTGAGTGACAGGCTGCGTTGGTATGTAGTTGCTTAGTAAGTTCATTAACCTGTAGCTAAATCCAGGCAATGGCTAACTCAAGCTGTTTTTATATTTAAGCAAACTGCATCTAATCTTTCCAGTGTATTTTGCTGAGCATGTAATTAAATAAGCATGACCCTGCAGTCTTTGTCGTGAATGCTTCCTGTTTTATAATTGTGATGATCTGAGTGATGTAATTAAGGGGTTCTTAATTTTCCATAATTGATGGTACTCCAGGTACAGCAATTTATACACAACTTAAAATACTTTAAAAACTTACAAGTATCTGTATTTGGAGGAATATTCTGGGGGTATGCTTTTTGAAAATTATAATAACCTTCTGTTTCTGCTCTTCAAGGTTTTCAGATGTCATCCTGGCAACAATTTTGGCTACCAAGTCAGATATGTGTGGCAAAAAGTTTGAACTGAAGATTGATAATGTTCGCTTTGTTGGCCATCCCACGTTGCTTCAGCACGCCCTTGGGCAGGTACAGTACGAGGTCTGCTCTGGAGACCTGCCTTCTTTTCAAACTGCCTGGCTTAGTTAGGAAACAGAATTCAGAATGTGCGTGTTGGCTTTTGATCCCGTTTTTACTTCCTGATGCTTAAAGCTGTCTGTTACTTACTTCCAGATGAATACAGTGAGTGGCAAACTGAGGGAGAGGTGTCAGTGATTCACAGAAACCCCCCTCTGGTTACTGTACAAGAGCAGTGTGGGTAAAGAGAAGTAATACTAAGCAGTCCAGCTCAAAAAGCTGTTTCTCACTGTGTTAGTTATTGCAAGTTAGCTTTTTAGCACCTCTAATTAGTATGGCAGTTAAAAAAATAAAAGCGCCACCTAAAACCTTCACAAATGCTAGAAGCCGCATCAGCCTTATTTAGCTTTTAACTCTTACTGGTGCTGAAGATGATTCACAAGGCTTGACTGGAATAGCTAGGATGTTGAAAGAGGTCTAAAATTTTCTTGTGGACAAAATCAGGCTGTTATTTGCATTGAGACCTTGCTCCATGGCCTGTGTTTTAGCTGCTTGGAATGAAAGCAGTTGCCACCTAGGCTATGGAGAAGGTCCTAGGAACCTAGGAAAGAATTAAATGCTTTTATGTGCCAAATATTCCCTCTCCCATTCCTTCTTCCTCATAGACTATTAGAATGAACTAGGCTTTGGTAATTTCTGAATCCAAGACTGATCTCTCTCACTGAACTGCTTTGGTCTCATTTTTCATCAAACTTACTCAGTCAGTTGTTCATTTTCTCAGGGGAAAAAAATCAGCTTGCCAATTCTGTCATCCTTTCTGTCTATAATTAGAGGTGCAAACAGATTGTTGGCAACTGCTGCTTGATATTTAGAGGACCAGACTGCTTTAATCCAAGTGAGGAGCTGGCCTCAAGCATCAAGAGAGGCTAGTGTTCCACTTTTGAAACTCAGTCATGAGTCTACAAGAAATGTGATGGAGGATCACCAAGACTCAGTCCAAATGTTTAAGCTGTTTTGGAAGACAGAATTCAAGTGTCCCCAAGCTGTGTAAGTGTGTGTAGGTCCTTCAGACAAGGCAGGTGATGAACAAGGCCCCAGGTCCGTACAGGGACCCCAGCCAGGAGCAAAAGGAGATAGGACCAAAGACAAGGGCTGGAGGACAAGGCTGCAATGTGCTTGACAAGGGTCCATCCAGGAGACAAGCTGCCTATGCCGACGTAGGTCGAAGGTCCATCCAGGACGCAGGGCTGGAGACAGGCACACCTCCACGCCCTGGGCTGAGCTTAAATGGGGCTCCAGGGCCGAGCTTAAACAGGGCTCCTGGGTCATGGGCTAGGGTGTGTGTGGGGACCCAGTCGGGGCTGGTCAGGGCCACTAAGACCTTTTGGTGCCCTCAGGACCCTGACAGCAGTGGCCTGTTCCCTCACAGTATCAGATTCCTTTATTTTGCTAATTTTGTCCGAAAGGCACAACTTCCTAAATGTAGTGTAAATGAGGTTGAAAATTTGTATTTGCATTTTTTCACCACATATTATTATACATTGTCTCCACTTTCCAGTCAATTTTATGGAATGTCAGTGACATGGAATGTCTCTTCATTTTCAATTTGTCTAAATAAAATTGCATCTGGGTAAATAAACCAAGTTATAAAGTTCTGTAAACACTTTTTTGTTACTTGTAGGATCTTCTTTTTGGGCGTGTCTTATCACCCCAGTAGGTACTCCAGAACTTTCTGGTGTCCAGAATCTTCTAGACACGGCAGCCATCCCTGCTGGTTCATTTGAGTCTAAATCTGGGACCCCTTCTGCAATTAGGAGGAAGGTAAATGGAGCTCCTTTCCCATGGAGCAAAGACAGTGACCAGAGTAACCTGACAGTCTCTGGTTTGGGTTTCTTCGGAGTTCAAACTGCAGTAAATTAATCCATGGGGCAGCTCAGCAAATTCTTACTCAGATGAGATTCAGGAGTTACAAGAGCAGGAATATTTAATCCTGTGTGCCAGACTGCCTTTTATGTAGCAATATTCTGAATTCTTCAAATTCCTTCAGCATTTTCTTTTCCAGCTTAGCCTTTTCTTCTTTTTTTCTGGACAAGAGGTGATAGGAAATCTAGCCTGCATCCCAATTGATGTTAATGATGGTAGTTTCTTTGATTTTAAGGAAGGAACAGGATCAGTCCCTACACTCAGAAATGCTTTTGAGTCTTTCTTGAAGTTCACAAGACATCCTGGAACCTGTTACTCCAGGAGAATAAACAAATGCAGTAAATTGGCTTTACCACCCTCCCATCACTGCCTTTTTGATAGAACTTCGCTTACACTTTAGCAAAAAACAAAAATATGTATCACTTCTTTTAGTTTCTCTAATTTTTAAGACTACCGAGTGAAAGCACTCAGACCTTGGAGTTCGCTGCTGCGCAGTCTGTTGCTGATGCTTGGGATCTGCCAGGAAGGGTGGATGCAGCTCTGCTGTTGCCATCTTCTCCGCGTTTGCCCCGTCTCAGATGCTGCATTACCTACATATGCACATACGGTGGCTACTAAATATGAGGTTAGCTGGGTGTTTGCTTGGCAGGTTATAGCTGTTTTCACTTGGGGGTGGATTGAGTGGGCAGCAGGGAGCGGTGGGGGGGGCAGGAATGTCCTCTGGATTTTGTGCTCCATCTTGTGGCGACGCTTGCTCGATTCAGAGTTGGTTAGTCTGGGATGTGCAAATTCAACTTGCTTGTCTTGGCTTCCACTGTTCCTCCTCACCAGAAAGTCTGTACCTGAGTTAGGGATGAAGTCCTCTGCTGCAGAAAGAAGGGTGGCAGCTGGAGAATGTGTTTGAAATCCTGCAGGAAGGGAAAATCAAACCTTTTATTTTAGTACTGCAGTTCTAGAGCATATTTTTTCTGATAAAAGCAACAATTTGTAACATCATGCAATCCAGATGAGGATTTTGGGAAGGAAAAGGCGTGGCCTGGGATGAGAAATCTATGGACTTCTCTTCAGTGAACAATCTATTTGACAATCGTGATAAGGAGTTTAAACCTAGGGTCCCTAATGATGCTAAAATGCAATAGTAAAGACACCTAGTAAGACCTTAACTGATACTCATTTCCATGGTCACAACCAAAATGCTTTGGTTTAAGTCTTCATAGCTTCTCAGAAAAGGCAGTGTTCTAGAGTAACTGTGGCGCTTTAACAAAAAAACACAAAATCATAGTTTTATTTTTTACAAGTCAGACTTGTTGATGTAATTTGATTTGTCTGCTTTCTTTTCTCAGCAAACTTGTTACTTGACTGTTAGGCTTTTTTTTATTTTTCTTTTCCCCTTTGTTACTGGATACAACTAACACTAGACTATGGGATTTTTTAAAAAAATATTTTTCAGGTATCCAAAACTGATCCCTCACCAAAGAGAGAGATGCCCACTATGATTCTCTTCAACGTGGTGTTTGCACTAAGGGTAAGGACAGTCTTCATTGCATCTGACAGTGAGATATGCTTTGGATGTATAAGAGAATGCAGTAGGCTCACATTCCAGTAATCTCTTGTAAAATGTTCGGTGCCTGATTTCGCTGGGATATTTTAATTTGAAACAACAAACCTAAACAATGTAGAATATAACACTAACAAGTGGGAAGGTTTTCCAGCCCAGTGGAAAACAAGTACACCTCTTCTAGGACATTTTCTAGAGTTTTTGGTTTTAAATATCTCGAGTGTAAAGGCATGCAAGAAACCACTTTGCAAAATAAATATGAACCCAGCTGCAAGTCCTATATATGTCTTGTCTTCTGCTGTTGGTGAGCTGGTAATCTGCTGTGATTTTTCTAGACCCTGCAATTGAGGCTTGTCCAACTGAGCTCTGCAAGAAGGCAGCCTGGGTCTGACTGTCCTGTGTGTCAGATGCCGCGCTCTGTACGTGACTGCTCTATTCCTGCCCGGGATAGGACCAAGTCCATACAGCCACACTGCCCGAGCCCTTGTGACTCCATGCAGCTTGGACCGTGGTGGTCGGCTCTGCTCCGGAAGCAGAGGCAGCGTGGACAGCAGCTCATGCTTGGCCAGCCCTAAGAGTCAGGTCCCCACCATAGCCTCAGTCAACTTGCTCAGTGCAGAGTCATTCAGAAACCTACTCTGGCTCAGCACAGCACTGTTTTTTGAGGCCTTACTCATGCTGTATGATACAGAGACATGTGCCTTTGCCCGGTGCCTCTAGGCTTTTTTTATAATTAAATGCACAGTGTTTGAAAGCTGCCTCCTCTTAGCAATGAGATCATTGTAAAGGGAGAGTGCTGGGGAGCAGCGGCTGTAGTATTCTAAATGAGAAGAAGGTAAAAGTGAAGAATAAGTAGGTTTTGATGCTTAGCAAGAACCGGGAGGAAAGAGTAGTTTTCGCTTGGAATTTTTTTTCAGGCCTACTCTATTGACTAGATGTTGGTATCTTTGCTGAGGGATCCTGGCTTGGCTAATTAGGTGGTGTAAAACGGTAGAAATTTCATTATGTTTGAGCATTATTTGATTTCTGAGCTCTGGGTTTCTTTTCCCAGCCCACAGGTTGTATCTGTGGAGCCATCACATTCTTTTTGTGGCATGTACACATATGAAGAAACACTGTAAAAATAAAAGAGGGAGCTGGAATAGCTGTCTGTGGAAATAGTTGATTTTTGCTGGAGTGGATATAATGTCATGATTCAAAAGCCTCCATCTCCCTGCTTGTGAAGTGACCTTTTTTTTTTCCTTTTAGCACTAGTACTTTTCTTACTGCTGGCTTCCCAGTGGTGACTTAACATAGACGTGGCCACAGTCTGGACAGCTTGTCCTCAGTTGAAGAGCAAGGTTTCACACGAGATGGTTATCCCAGCAATCAGTCTGAATCAAGCAAGAAATCATTCACTGAGTTCTGCTGGGTATCTAGTGTTCTTGTGCTTTGGGACGTTCTTAGGTCAGGAAGTGCTGAATTTGCAATACAGGAGTTGATTTTAGATTTCACACATTAAGAGACATTAACTTCAAGAACTTTGTTTTGGTGTATTGCTAAAGCACCATGCTTCAGTGGTAGGTAAGTATGTGTACATGCACATGCAAACACAAACGTTCATGTGCATTGAGTCATGTGGAAGCAGAAGTGTTGAAACCAAAGCTCCTTCATTCACAATATTTTTCTGGAATCTAATTTCTAGTAGTCCTCCTAGGAAAACTTGCTTTTTTGGCATTTTGACACTGTGATGATACTGATGTAATTGTGTGTGTAATGCAGCGCTAAATCATATTTGCCAAATGAGACGCTCTTAGTTCGTAGAGAGCTGTCTAGTTTCTGGAAAGTGCTGTGCAAGAAGCAAGTGGAAATTTTTTCCTAGCATGGTGTAGTGCACTGCAGAAGGTGGGTGGAGGCGTTCTGAGATAAAGATGAAGGTCCATCTGCAGTGGGCAGACAGAGCAGGCAAAGTCCCAAATGCTATAATCAGCACTGATCCTGCTGTGTTGAAGCTTCAGGGTTACCAACGTGTCGTGACTCAGCAAGAACAGTGGAATCCAAAAATGATGATTCATGGCTTGCTAGTTTACATGCCAAGTTATCGCTTGCTAGAACTGTAAATTCCTTTAAATGTCTTAACAAACATGAAGCAGCTGCTTACTCAGACTGGAGCCACCACGTCCCCCGCCTTGTCAGCTGGACTTACACGATAGATTTTTCCAGCACTTTCATTCTGGGACTCACACAAATGCAGTGTTAGTAATAAGCCATATTTGTGAAATGTTCGGGAGCGTAAATCCAAATTCATTCTGGTTTGGGATCAAATTGTTGATCATGTCCTGGTAATTCTTGCTGAGTTACTGTCTTGTCAGCTTGCAAGACAATCATCAGTATAGCAACATGGAGTGGATGGGCTGTGTTAAAGGCACTGCAGTCCTTGTCCTACCGGTGAATTTAACCTGAACATCGTGATATCCTGACTTCTCAAATAGCTTGACATTTTCTTTTCTCACTGTGTGAAATTGAGTTCTTTGGCCTCTCTGCTAGCAGAACGCTCATTAACAACTGGAAAAATTAAACCAGATAGGAGTATCATACTCCAGGTGCTGTGTTCATTTGATGCACATAGACAAGCTTAGAAATCCCCGAGACGTCTTTTTACCTTTGGACGTCTCCGAGCTTCTGCTTTGTTGCTCCTAGAGAAAATTCCTTTCTTTTGCCAGTTGCCAAAGAGGCTGACTTTTGATATCTGCTAAAGATAATGATTTTGACTAGTTATCCATCCCTGTAGTTCCATATATGTGATTGTGACTGAATGAACGACCTGTTTTTTCCTGTGTTACCTGTAGGCCAATGCAGATCCATCCGTGATAAACTGCTTACACAACCTCTCCCGCAGAATCGCCATAGTCTTGCAGCACGAGGAGCGCCGCTGCCAATACCTGACCAGGGAGGCCAAGTTGATCTTGGCTATTCAGGACGAAGTGTCTGCCATGTCAGAAAGTGAGTGCTGAGCTTAGCTTTGTGCAGGAATATGTTTGTCCAGGAGCACTTTTTCAGAAAAGCGCTGATTGTGCCTTCTTACTTCTTTTGTGGCTGGGATCAGTATGAACAAGTTTTGGTGCTCTTTAGCATTCTGACAGCTTTTGACTGCATTTTGCCTCATCCACCATCACTATCCCTATGCAGAGACGTCAGCTTTAGAAATGAAGTAGCTTGTTTGCTTTCCTTGCCAGCTCAGTTCAGTGTGATCGCTGGAGAATGTGCACTGAACCATCAAATTTGGATCTGCCTGTCAGGCTGAGATGGAAGAACTCGTATGTAGCCTGCTTCACCCAACCTAGAGCAATGTTTCCCATGCTTTAATGCTGTGTGCTGAGTCATCAAACTTCTTGTGTGGAAACTTTACTCTTACATGTTGTTACCATGGCTAGTAAATAGTTACAGAGCATTTTTATAGACCGTAGTTCAGAGCAATTTACTATAATAATGTGCAGTATTTAAGGTGAACTCTACCTGACAGTGATGCATCATCTTGCTGCAAGCATTAAAAATTAAAACGAACATGTATAAAAACAAAACCACTTAAAATCATCACTTGTCAAATTCACAGTTACATGTGCTTAACTGAGGTTGAGGTTTAGGAGAAGCTGGCAATAATTCACTATTATTATTTTAACATCTAGTTACTGTAAAAGCTTTGGAAGATAATTGTAGCTTAAAAAGATATGGATTCTGTCCCTAAGATACTGGTTGATACCTAGTGGGGGAAGAGGAAACTCTCTTTGCTTTGAAATCAGTTGTTTGTTTTCATGTTTTGAAATTTTCCATAGCCACAGAGGGGCCACAGTCACCTTTTCATCACATCCTACCCAAATGCAAACTGGCCAGAGATCTCAAAGAGACATATGACAGGTAAGTGGGATTTTCTTCATGGCTTATAGTATGCTGCTTCTCACTGAAACCTCTTGGCCCTGTTTCTTAGGGTATTATCCACCTCTTCATGCTGTTGACTCATTGGCATTTGGGTTTTAGACCAGGTGGAGCAATGTGAAGGCTAACTCTCAGGTGAAATCTTTGCAGAATTGCTATCCTAATCATTACCTTGGTCTCCCTTTGGATATGTTATGGTTCTTAAAAGTTGGTGATGTCTGTCACAGCTTTAAGAATTATTATTTTCTTCTTTAGCACAGAGGCACATAATGACAAGTGAATGGTAGAATTGAGAAGTTTCATAATATGAATATTGTTTCACTGTAGAAGTGCTCTAAACCTGCAGCTAAGAGAAAAATGCTGCATCTAGCCCCGATGGCAAGTCAGATACTGCCCTGGCTTCATTTGGTTACACTGTGCGTGTCTGGACAGTGAATTTGGATTATGTGGTGAGACTTTCAGCAGAATGGAAAGTGTAACATGATGTTTCTTGACTGGATTAAAAGTTCTGGCAAGGATTTCAAAGGAATGTGGAGTTAGT